TATAATAACATAAGGCTAACAAATGGAGTCAAACCATTCCATGGGAAATTAGAGAAAAAGGGCACACTGTTACCGGGATGAGAGATTAAATCTCACTTAAAGATACTCGACTGACCAAATAAAAAATATATAAAAACTACTAAGTAGATATACCCCAAATGAAAACATGCATGCATTTAAAAGGCACTTACACACATTAATGTATGTTTTACACATTAGAAATGTATGTAGATATATATATATATATATATATATATATATATGCATTAGACATGCTCATTAGACATGTGTAGATCACAAAATAGTTAATTGATGTGCTTCTTACCCCTTCTGCTACATTTTGCTCCTCTGTAAATTGGGTTTAGGCAAGTTTGAAAACAACTTTAAAATCTACGTCTAAATAATAGATTCAAGTCACAAACTTAAAGTTAAAGATTTTTTTTTTTTTATATTGGTCAATTCACAACAATTGCTAATTTATTGAATGAACTCAAACGTTTTAATTATGCCAACAGTATGCCAACAAAACAACATGGCTAACTCTCAAATCCAGGCATATATATCTAATTATCTTCACCTATTATCCTTACCTAAAACATTCATTGCTAGAACAGTGTGCTCAGTATACCGATCTGTGCACCTACAATCTCTGGTCTAATGCAAGAGGTTTAGGGTTTATAGGAAAAACATAAAATACTTGGGTTCTTTGCAAAAGAGGTACAAGCAGATGTTACTTTTTTTTTTTTTACTTTTTATAAAAGGGTTATTCCAAGCAGCACAACCACTTCAATGATTTGAAGTAGTCATGGTGTCTGTATCTGTAAAACACTGCAAATACAGAAATTGACCCCCTAGGTACCAGAGATATAACTCCACCTCTAAAAGCTACATTAGCCAGCCCTGAAACAAAGTTCCGGTTAGCTAATGTCAATTATGTGCAAAATTGCATTTTGACACCAGCACACAGAGCATGCTGGCACCACATAGACACCCATCGATGCCTCCTTGACCTACCTCTGGTGATGGCGAGTGACATCAGCCAAGGAGGACTGGGTTGAGGAGAGGACTTGGACTCAGTGATGGAATAGAGGTAAGTTTTAGTGTTTTTAAAAAAAAAAAAAATATATATATATATATTTTTTTTTTTAAGTTTGGGGGGTTTGGGGGGAACACATCAGAAAGGGGTAACTTTTTTTTTCTTTTTTTTTGTAAACACTGTTTTTAGTTGGAGTAACCCTTTAACGTATTTTGTTTTTTCTCCATCGCCTGTGTTCTGGATGTGACAGCTGCTTGCATGTTACCTTCTATCCTTTGGGCATGCCGTGGCCTGAAAAAGATTTTCTTTCTTACTTTTCAGAATAAAAGGAAACTTACTTTAAACAGGAATGCCAGACATATTCTATAAGTTTCCTACCAGGATTAAAAAAAACACACAGCCTTGTGAAAAACTAAAGGTCAAACTTATTTTTACTATTGGTGATGAAACCATAAACAAAAGCAATAGTTTCACCGGAATTGTGGGACGCAGATATGATGAATACCTGTACACGTAAATCTTTTTTTCATTCTCATTATTGTCATTAGATATTATTTTGCATCTGAAAAAAATAGCATCCCCCTAGACAAAAATAGAAATATTTGGATCCAAAAATCTTGCTCGGTTTTGATCAACAACTTTAAAGCTTTATGACAATGTTGAACACACTAATCATTTATGCATTTAACTTAATTGATCATAAACATTTTTGGAAGATGGTGGATTTTTAAAACTGGATCTAGCCTTATAGGATCATCCTAAACACCACGACCACCATAACCACTACACAACAGAGTTGTGATTGCATTTTCACCTTTTAATGCAGAGTCTGTAGATTATGGCTACCCACTTGAGTAGGTGTATATCAATGCTTCTACTAACAGTGGAGCCATTAATTTTGAGATTATTGAGTCAACATACAGTTTATTTAGCTCAGCTTATCTTCTCATTTTCTGTTTCCACTTGCACTTTATATTATATTTTTTGCAGCATTTTTTTAGGTAAGATTCCCGTTCTAATACTTATTAGATGTGCCCATCCGTGCAGGTTTGTATTTAGCACTGAGCAGTGTTTGTATGTTTTAATGTAAGCATGCTATTGTATGGAGTATGTGTGAGAATGTAGGGGCGTGTTTTTGTGATAGTTGGAGTTTAAATTATGAGATGTATGCACATATACACATACACACACATATACACAGACACACTGACACACATTCGGATACACTGACACACAGATACAGACACACAGAGACACACACACTGACAGATACAGAAGCACAGACATGCAGATACACAGACATACTGACACACATAAGATACACAGATGCACAGACACACAATAACATATTTACAGATACACACACACACACACACACACACACACACACACACACTGACACACATGCAGATACACAGACACAGTAATACACAAATGGATGCACAGATACACCTACAGATACAAACACTGACACACACAGATACACAGGGGAATACAGATACACATGCAGACACACAGATACATATACAGAAACACATACAGATACACAGATTTATACACAGATATACACACACACACACACACAGATAAATACACTGACACATATACAGACATATGAAAAATTACACAGATACACACATTGACACTCATACAGGTACAAACACTGACACACACAGACACACAGGGGCATACAGATACACATACAGACACACAGATATATATATACAGACACCCAGATGCACATACAGACACCCAGATGCACATACAGACACACAGATACATATACAGACACACAGATAAATACACTGAAACATATACAGACACACATGCAAAATGTACACATTTGGGTGAAGGAGGGTGGCTTCCCTGGTGTTTAGACTGCTGAATGAGGCTGTTGGTAGTCAGTGGCACTCCCACTCTGGCCCCTCTTCTTTTCCTCCCTCGTGGCTCTATGTTATCTGGGAGGAAGTAACCGGCTGTCACTTCCTCCCAGTGCTATAGAGATTACAGGGACCTGGTCACAATGTTAAAGGGACGCTGTTAAAGGACGTCCAGGCCTCTAACATGTTGCCATCTGGTGGCCATAAGTCCATGGGCCACCACACCCCCCCACACACACACGGACTATTTTTACAGCTGATTGTAGTAAACACCTAAGCACCTAAGTGTTTATATCTAGCACAAATTATATTTAGCATCTTTAAATGAGGATGTAATGCATTACAAATTCAACTTTGAACCAGAAGCAATTGTAGCTTAATCAAGTGCTCAGACAATGCTTGCTATTAGACAATGGTCAAATAAAACACTGATGTATCCGTTATAAAAATTACCCAATAGAGATGAATGATAAAAGCATGACATTTTATCTAGAACGCACAAAATAATTTAAAAAGGCTAACTGCGTAAAAACGAGTACAGGAAACGGAAGAACAGAAACATTGAGAAATATAAAGATAAAAAATGTCAAAAAGAGATATTAAACATTAACTTTCTGTTTAAGAGAGAACACGTCTTTAAATAAACAGTGAAAATTCTTCAGCGTTTAAAAAAATAAAAAAAAATAAAGTTATGCACATGAGCAATATAAAGTACTGATGGAGAGAATGGAGCACTAGGCATAGAGAATGCACAAGTTCATAAAGGATCAAGCAAATCATCCTAAAGTAAACACAGCTATTATCTTAGAAATGTTAATCATTTGAATGCCAGAGGGAAAAGAAATGTGCAGCAGGCCAAAGGGAACCAAATTGTTAAATGTAAGGATTTACATTGCAATCTGTGCAGTGGTACTCACAAAGAGTTTATAAATCCTGCAGATGCAAAGCAGAATTAGTCATAAGGTGACTTTAGGCAGCTACCTAGGGTCTAGACCAGGGATAGGCAACCTTCGACACTCCAGATGTTGTGGACTGCATCCCCCATAATGCTCTTACACCCATAATGCTGGCAAAGCATCATGGGAGGTGTAGTCCAAAACATATGGAGTGCCGAAGGTTGACTGTGCCTGGTCTAGACCAACCATAAGCAACCTTCAGCACCCCAGATGCCGTGGACTACAACTTCCTTGATGCTTTGCCAGCATTATGACTGTAATAGCTGTAACCCTCTCCTGATTGGTCTTCCCAAAAGCCGTATTGCCCCTCTACAGTCTGTAATGAATGCTGCCGCCAGACTGATTTTCCTCTCTAGTCGGTCCTCTCGCACCTCACCCCTCTGACAGTCCTTACATTGGCTTCCTGTATCCTATAGGAGTCAATTCAAAGTGCTAACCCATACCTATAAAGCATTGAACAATTCTAGCCCCTCTTATATCTCTTCACAGATCCATAGGTATGCCCCTTCTTGGTCTCTCCACTCTGCCTGTGAACTTCTCCTGTCTGCTGCTCGCACCCTTACGGCCAACTCCCGTTTGCAGGACTTCTCGCGGGCGGCTCCCTTCCTATGGAATAGCCTGCCTACTGCCATCAGACTCTCCCCTAGTCTTCAATCGTTTAAGAAGTGCCTTAAAACCCATCTCTATATGAAAGCTTATGGCCTCCCAGACTAACCTCTACCTCACATACCTGTCTCTACTCTCTCCTTCAGCTCTGCTTCACTCAGTGGTGTATCCTGGTTTTGTGCTGCCCTAGGCAGGACAAAACTCAGGTGCCCCCCTTCCTCCACGCCACCCCCACCCAACCCTTCCCCCCGCCCCACCTTCTAAATACACACACACACACAGTCTGACTGTGTGTGTGTCTGACTATGTGTGTGTGTGTCTGACTGTGTGTGTGTGTGTCTGACTGTGTGTGCGTTTGTGTCTGACTGTGTGTGTGTGTCTGACTGTGTGTGTGTGTGTCTGACTGTGTGTGTGTCTGACTGTGTGTGTGTCTGACTGTGTGTGTGTGTGTGTGTCTGACTGTGTGTGTGTCTGACTGCATGTGTGTCTGACTGCGTGTGTGTCTGACTGTGTGTGTGTGTCTGACTGTGTGTGTGTCTGACTGTGTGTGTGTCTGACTGTGTGTGTGTGTGTGTCTGACACACAAACACACACAGTCAGACACACACACAGTCAGACACACACACACACAGTCAGAGACACACACACAGTCAGACACACACAGTCAGAAACACACACACAGACACACACACACAGTCAGACACACACACACACAGTCAGACACACACACACTCAGTCAAACACACAAACACACACAAAGTCAGACACACACACACACACAGTCAGACACACACATACACATTCAGACACACAAACACACACAGTCAGACACACACACACACAGTCAGACACACACACAATCACTCACATTAACACTTTTTTTTAATTTAACCCCCCCCCAGCCTCCTTACCATTGGGAATGCTGGGGGGTCTCTTTCTCCCTGGGGGTCCAGTGGCTGCCGGTCGGGCTGATGGGCTGGCTGCTGGGCGGGCGGCTGGCGAGGGAGCACTTCCTCCGAGCTGTCTGCTCAGCTCCCTCACGCGCTGCAGTGTGAGGCTGGGAGCCTGGTTGATGACGTCATATTCCGGCTCCCAGCCTCACTCTGCGGCGTGCGAGGGAGCTGAGCAGACAGCTCAGAGGAAGTGCTCCCTCGCCAGGTGCCCGCCCGCCCAGCCCAGCATGTCTGTTAGCCGCAAGGCTAACAAGGCATTTGCCCTGGGCATTTGGGAGCGGCGTTTTTTGCCGCCCCCTGAAAAATGCTGCCCAAGGCAAATGCTTGTTTGCCTCGCGGCTAATACATCCCTGGCTTCACTCCCACCTTATCTGATTGCTATTTCCTGTCTTAATGTGTTTTATACCCCACCTCCTATAGACTGTAAGCTCATTTGAGCAGCGTCCTCTTCAACCTATCGTTCCTGTAAGTTTTCTTAATTGTCCTATTTATAGTTAAATCCCCTCCCCCCTCATAATATTGTTAAGCTCTACGGAATCGGTTGGCGCTATATAAATGGTGGTAATAATAATAATAATACGAGCATTATGGTAGATATAGTCCAAAACATCTGGAGTGCCGAAGGTTGCCTACCCCTGCTCTAGAGGTTTGACAGAGGTCATGGAACCATGATTTGCTTGAAGGATTTAGTAGATATACCTCCCGTGAATTCAAGCATGTATTAATTGATATACCTCCTGTGAATTCAAGCATGTATTATCTTAAAAGACCTTATAAAGACTGCAGCTCTCCCCTTTTTTCCCGGGAAGAGACTTAGTCAAATTTCAGCCCGCCAGCTTGTGCATCGTCTGGTTTGAGGTCTGGAGCTGGTCTGAGGTCTGTGAGGAATAGGGAGGAAGGCATGCTCAAGTAGAGCGTGCTTGCCACTTCCATTAGCTCAGGGGAGCTAACAGAAGGAGGCTGCAAACCTCCCTGGCTGTTTGATTGACAGCCAGGAGGGAGTTTCCTAGTTAATTTATAAAATTGCTGATTTCTCATAGAACTATGGGGGATGTTGTCCACAACATCTGGAGTGCCGAAGGTTGCCTATCCCTGAACTAGGGTACTCCTCACACATAAATAGTGATGTCCTGAACGGTTCGCTTGCGAATAGTTCCCTGGCGAATATCGCTTGTTCGCGTTCGCCACGGACGGCGAACATATGCGCTGTTCGGTCCGCCCCCTATTCGTCATCATTGAGTAAACTTTCACCCTGTACCTCACAGTCAGCAGACACATTCCAGCCAATCAGCAGCAGACCCTCCCTCCCAGACCCTCTCACCTCCTGAACAGCATCCATTTTACATTCATTGTGAAGCTGCATTCTTAGTGAGAGGAGGGACAGTGTAGCTGCTGCTGATTTGATAGGGAAATTGATAGCTAGGCTAGTGTATTCAGTGTCCACTACAGTCCTGAAGGACTCATCTGATCTCTGCTGTAAGGACAGCACCCCAAAAAGCCCTTTTTAGGGCTAGAACATCAGTCTGCTTTTTTTTTCTGTGTAATGTAATTGCAGTTGCCTGCCTGCCAGCCTGTGTGTCAGGCTCACAGCATATACTGTGCCCACTTGCCCAGTGCCACCACTCACTCACTGGTGTCACAATAGCTTGCATTTAAAAAAAACAAAACTTTTTTGACTAATATAATAGCAGTCAGTTTCCTTCACGAGTGTGCATTTCAGAGCCTGCCCAGTGCCACCACTCACTCACTGGTGTCCCAATAGCTTGCATTTAAAAAAAACTAAACTTTTTTGACTGTAATATAATAGCAGTCAGTTTCCGTCACACATCTGCGTTTCAGGGCCTGCCAAGGCACAGTGTCACACCAGTGCAACTCATATCTGGTGTAACAGTAGTGTACATTTAAAAAAAATAAAAAATTTTTGACTGTAATGGATTGAATAGCAGTTAGTTGTCTGCAGCGTGTGTGTCAGTCTCACAGCGTATACTGTGCCCACTTGCCCAGTGCCACCACTCATATCAGGTGTCACAATAGCTTGCATTTAACAAAAAAATGACTTGCAGGCAGGCCTGCTGCCACCTCCTCTACTCCTCCTACTCCATCCTCTTCCATAACCTCCTCGGCTGAGTCCTCTTCTGCTGCTGCGTCTTGCTCCACATCAACGGCACCCTCAGCTCCCCAGGTACTATTCCACATCCCGGATACGGCAGTGTCACGCCGTCTTCTGGTTGACTTGCCTGAAAGCAGAGAGTCACACCGGACCAGCACTCCTGTCCGCCCTGAACGCACAGGTGGATCAGTGGCTGACTCCACACCATCTGGAGATCGGCAAAGTGGTTTGTGACCACGGAAGAAATTTGTTGGCGGCATTGTTGTACGTACCCGTGCTGTTGTACGTGGCTGGGGGGAAGAACATACCTTCAGTGAGATCACTGAGGACGAGGAACAGGACATGAGTAGCTCGGCATCCAACCTTGTGCAAATGGAGTCTTTCATGCTGTCGTGCCTGTTGAGGGACCCTCGTATAAAAAGGCTGAAGGAGAACGACCTGTACTGGGTGTCCACTCTACTAGACCCCCAGTATAAGCAGAAAGTGCCTGAAATGTTACCGAATTACGGCAAGTCGGAAAGGATGCAGCAGTTCCAAAATCAATTAAAAAGTATGCTTTACACAGCGTATAAGGGTGATGTCACAGCACAACGGGAATCTAACAGGGGAAGAGGTGAAAGTAATCCTCCTCCTCCCACGACCACGCCGGCAAGGACAGGACACTTTACAGACGTGTTGTTGATGGAGGACATGCGGAGCTTTTTAAGTCCTACGCATCGCCACAGCCCTTCGGGGTCCACCCTCAGAGAACGACTTGACCGACAGGTAGCAGACTACCTTGCCTTAACTGCAGATATCGACACTCTGAGGAGCGATGAACCCCTTGACTACTGGGTGTGCAGGCTTGACCTGTGGCCTGAGCTATCCCAATTTGCGATAGAACTTCTGGCCTGCCCCGCTTCAAGTGTCCTGTCAGAAAGGACCTTCAGTGCAGCAGGAGGTATTGTCACTGAGAAGAGAAGTCGCCTAGGTCAAAAAAGTCTAGATTACCTCACCTTTATTAAGATGAATGAGGGATGGATCCCGAAGGGACTGACAGTGGGCGATACATTCGACTAAAAAAGGCCTGATGAGGGAGACGTAACAGGGTGTCGCGGCTGCCGGCCCGCCGCGTGATATTTAAATCCCTAGCTCACCCCAGTACCTTGCCCTGTCGTGGTTTCCTGTTCCTGGTTTCCTGAGAGTGCTTTATCATTGTGAATCTGATTTCCTGGTATCCTGATCTTGGCTTTTCCCTGGTTATTCTGAATTCTGGTTTCCCTGACTTGGCTTGTGTAAACAGTATTGTGTATTTTCTGGCTTCCTTGACCTCGGCTTTCCCTTTGACCATTCTCTGTCTCTAGCGTATTAGTCCGGCCATTCTAAGGTCCGGTTTACGCTCTGTCCTTTTATTTTCCTTTTCTTGCCTATGTATATGTTTACATAGTTTCTGCGTGCTGGACCACACTAGTAGTCGTGACATTGGGATTAAACTGATAAGAATAGTACTACTTAACACACCACTCCTATCTGGTGGCACATTAGATTGCACGCGCAGTGCCCCAAATTTGAAGAAGGAGGACCGACCAAGCATCTTTTTCCATCTCCCGGTTCCTAAAATCGATGCCATATACACGTCCCCTGATAGGGGACGTAACAGGGATTAAACTGATAGGAATAGTACTACTTAACACACCTTATAATAACGCAGAGAGAGGCAACGCAGAGAGAGGAGTCTGAAGAAGAGGAGTCAGAGGAGGAAGGTGGCTTTGAGGAGGTGGAAGACCAAACACAGCAGGCGTCCCAGGGGGCTTGTTGTCACCTTTGGGGACCCTTGGTGTTGTACGTGGCTGGGTGGAGGAAGAGACCTTCAATGACATCAGTGAGGACAAGGAACGGGACATGGCTAGCTTGGTATCCAACCTTGTGCAAATGGGGAGTTTGCGGTTGTGCAAATGGACTGTTTGCGGTTGTTTGCAGTGCGTTAAACAGGGAGTTTGGTCTGTCACTGTGAAGCGGGCGTAACCCTTACATTACCTGATCGATACAACATCATACCTGATGTTTTAAAGCACGTTATTCCAAACAATTTAGGAATGTTATGTGATTTATGCCCTTTATGGATTAAAACCAGACTCTGCATCAACTATGTAATTTTCCATGGGAGTTTTGCCATGGATCCCCCTCCGGCATGCCACAGTCCAGGTGTTAGTCCCCTTGAAACAACTTTTCCATCACTATTGTGGCCAGAAAGAGTCCCTGTGGGTTTTAAAATTCGCCTGCCTATTGAAGTCTATGGCGGTTCGGCGGAGGTTCGCGTTCGCCGTTCGCGAACCGGAAATTTTATGTTCGCGACATCACTACCCATAAAGCACTTCAACATCTGCATTGTTATTAAAAGAGCAGCACAATTATTTGTGTGTTTTATTTTTGATGAATGTATTAAACATTGTTCTTTTGAGACACAGCAATAAAATCAGATTTGTCATTAGGCTTGTCATTCTTTATAGGCCAATCGACAGGTGCCTTTACCAATGTATCTGTACTATAGATGCTCTACAAATATGTAAGTTAATAAAAAAAAAGAGCAGGGTGTCT